TCTTATCACCTATTAACTGTGATGCATAACCACTTCAGGCATAATTCTTCGTGGTCAGCCACTGCATAAAAAAACTGGACAAAAATCCTAGCAAGTGTGTTGCGAATACCACGCTTCTCTGAAAAATGACGAACTATAGCATAGTGAAAGCCAGCCTACTATACAAAACCTAATATTTATGGTGTAGTGGGTACCTAGGAACTCTGCTTGTGGCAGTTACCCGAAGAGTGTTTAGAAAAAACTCGGAAAGTGCGCTCTTTCAGTTTAAGGGGAGACGCGGGTCGAAAAGTCGCGGTTTTCCGGAAAATTTTCGCTTTTTTTTTTCCGGCTGTATTGGCATCCTTGGACTATAATCAATTACTTCTGAAAATATCAAGCTGAAATTCGCACGAGAAATTATCAAAAAATGCTTCCAAGTGGGCAGCGGTGACGCGAGAAATGCGCGAAGGTTGTGAAAAACGGCGAAGTTCGCGTCGTGTCGCGAAAACGACGCGTTGGCCGCCATTTGCAATCGTGCACGCATGCTGCGAAGGCCGTATCCTTAATAATCCACTAGTAGCCAGTCTCGTGTCTTCACGCAGAATAAAGAAAAAACGAGAAAAACAACGCGTACGTCACGCGTTTTGAATATCGCGGCACACAGCGCGAGGCCGCCATTGGACGGCGGTGCGCTCCACGCTCCTCCCCCTCCTATCTCTCCGGCAAAAGAGCGAAGCCTCGGACGTCGCGATCGAGTTTTTCTGCGTTTCTCTGCATTTTTGCGTCATGGCAAGCCCGAAGAAGTGCAGTTCAGATAATCGAAAGTTCAGAACTCGCCACAAGTATCGAGGGAAACAGCGTCGGACGCTTCGCAAAGCGACAGCGAACGACGATGTCGCCCCCGACCAACGCCCCGACGCTCCGACTTCGGATAGGCCTAACACCGTCACCGAACCCTGCGACAGTGGTTGTGAAATAGCCGCTGCCGTGGAATTCGTCAGTGCATCCCAAAGGAAGATTGGATTCTTCGAGAGTGAACGTAGACCGGTAGATGCTGCCACTGCGAACATGCTGCTTTGCGAAATCGATGCGCTGACGGCACTTGTGGCGGGTGCGCAATGCCCAACCTGCCGCGAACGGAAGCTCGGCGTGTGAGAGGCAGCTGGAAAGCGCAAAGGACTTTCGGCATTCCTCGAACTGTGCTGTCAAAATTCTGATTGCCCTGAATCTGCACTTTCGTTCACGCACACGTCGAGACGTACTGCTTCGGCCGGGGACCAAGGAACGAGCGCTCGTTTTGACAGCGGCAGCTCGCGTGACAGCTTTGCTGTAAACGTGAAGGCAGTTCTGGCAGCACGCGCTATAGGCGCAGGCCACGACCAACTTTCACGATTTTGTGCGATTCTCGGTCTTCCGAGCCCGATGCATCACAAGACATTCAACGGCATTTGCAAGAAGCTCCATGGTGCGGCGATGACGGCAGTGAGCAAAAACTTGCACTAGGCACGAAACATCACGAAGGACGCAGTCGGCGGCAGAGATGTGCCAGTCATGTTTGATGGCACCTGGCAGAAAAGAGGTCATAAGAGCCACAATGGAGTGGGCACAGTCGTGTCCCTGGACACGGGGCTCTGCCTCGATTTTGAAGTTCTTTCGAACTACTGCCATCCTTGCAGTATACACAGGGACCTTGGGGAGGATGAAGAGATATGGCGAGCTTTTCATCTTCCAGTTTGCTAAAAAAACACTGACTGCTCATCCCATGCAATGGAATCTGCGGCAGCTGTCAATATATGGCAGAGGACCTTGTCTTATGAAACTCCACTGCGATTCACCAGCTTCCTAAGTGATGGTGACAGCAAGGCCTACACTGCAGTCTGCGAGGCAAATGTATACTGTGACACCCCCATTGACAAAGAAGAGTGCACGAACCACGTTGCAAAGCGCTTGGGAACTGCCCTACGGAAATTGGCAACGCCACTGCCACGAGGCGAAAAACTGAAAGATGCGACAATAATAAAACTACAAACATATTACAAGATCGCCATCACGAGCAACAAGGACAGTGTCCGAAATATGTACACTGCCATATGGGCATCGTATTTTTATTGCTGCTCCAGTGATGGTGCCAGTAGCCACAACTTTTGCCCCGCGGGACCAAATTCGTGGTGCAAGCACAAGCGTGCGGAAGCACTGGGGGAGCCTGCACCACGCCACACCCCACTGTTGACGAAGGCTCAAGGATTGGCAATTATGCCTATCTACAAGCGCCTTACAGAGGAGAAACTCCTTATTCGGTGCCTTCATGGCAAGACACAGAATGCAGCCGAATCGCTGAACAGCAAGATATGGCTGCTATGTCCAAAAACAAAGTTCGCCTCCAGAACAACTGTGGAGACAGCCACCGCTCTTGCTGTACTCTGGTACAACAAAGGCCACAGGGGCTTTGAAGAAGTGCTCGAAGGCATTGGAATTCTCCCCTCATAAGATCTGGCCACACATGGTGACCACTGTGACGTCATGCGCATCAGGAAGATGAACCTGAAGCAAACTGCAGAAGCGAGGGCACACCGTCGCAATACAGCGAAGAGAGCTCGTGTTGAGGACACTGACCGCAAGAGCCGTGAAGGACCAAGCTATGGTGCAGGGGACTTCTAGACACTTGCAGTGCATTCAAGGCAAGGTACTTTTCATTGTGCCCCAATTTGATGCAAAAGAATGATTTCCTAATAAATGCCAACTTTGCAAACTTTCAAACTTGTTTTTCTCATTTTCATTTTTTCCGACAGTTTCACGTTTTCCGGGCAGCCTTTTAGAAACTTATATTCATTGTATAGTAACGAAACTTGGCACACATATTCTTCAACACATGCAGAATGCAAATATCTACTCTAAATTGCAATGCCTACCAGCATTAGTTGTGAAAATATTAGCTTATTGTTTCAAGGGAGATTGAAAATAATAAGTCATTCAATACAATTTTTTTTTCTTGGTTCCAATATTTCTGTGACATATCTATATAGATATTTGCACTTTTCAATCTACCAAGAGTCAAATAAGATCAGACACAGTGCTTTTACTGAAAGTTTAGTACATAAAAGAGTGCCCGCAAAAAATGTAACTTTTTGCTATTGTTTATGGCATAACTCAATAATTATAGCAGCTACACAAAAAATGATTGCATATTTGAAATCTGCATGAAAAACTATACTAATAACAAACTTTTCAAGTCTCTATTACTAGAAATAAAAAAAAAACCTTCATTGCGCTTCTCAGCTCAAAATTGTCAAACCTGGTGAGTGGCCCTTTAATCATGCATATATAACACAAAATAACGATGCAATAAATGTAAAAAAATAGTTTAACAACTGTGCTAAACAGTTGCAAGCAACGCAAGCTCAGACAACGTCGATTGAAATTTAAAAGTAGCGCCTTATGTGACAGTGCGCCATCTGCCGAGCGCAGAAGAAACCTTCAGCTTGTAGCACCACGCAAGCACAGCGGCGCGAAAACAAAGCAAAAAACACAACCTATGCAGCAACCGCGCCGTGCGACATGCAATGCAACCGCGCCAACGCCGCAATATGCGTGTGCAGATGTTGAAGGTGCACGTTGCGTCGTTCGATGCTGCATTTCACAGCGAGAGCTGTTATGAGATCAGACCACGGGTCACGTGCGGTGCCGTAGTTGTCCGCTGCCACGCGTGTCTGTAACCAGCGTCGCAAGAAGTATAAAAAACATTAAGGACACAATGGGATTAGAACCCGGGTCCACTGCGTGCCAGCCCAGTATTTTACCATTGAGCTACGCCAGTGCTTGGCACTCGTTTCCAAAGTCGCCTTGGGCAGGCTTGATGTCGAGAAAGGAATCGCGTTGAATTAACGCGAATAAAACCTTTTAGAACATAAAAGAAACAACCAGGCATCACACAATGCGAATAGCTTAACAAGCTGGTCATTCATTTCTTCAACCCATTACAAAAGCTTGTTCTTGTGCTTCAACCCATTACAAAAGCTTCCTCTCATCACCTATTAACTGTGATGCATAACCACTTCAGGCATAATTCTTCGTGGTCAGCCACTGCATAAAAAAACTGGACAAAAATCCTAGCATGTGTGTTGCGGATACCACGCTTCTCTGAAAAATGACAAACTATAGCATAGTGAAAGCCAGCCTACTATACAAAACCTAATATTTATGGTGTAGTGGGTACCTAGGAACTCTGCTTGTGGCAGTTACCCGAAGAGTGTTAAGAAAAAACTCGGAAAGTGCGCTCTTTCAGCCTAAGCTGCGACTGTGCTGCGCGTTTCGCGTAGGCCTGGCGGTTTATATTCGTTAACGATCGGTCAGTACGCTAGCAACAATTTCGACTACGTTGGCTCAATTAAATTTTCTGAAACTCCTTCCGCTAGGTCTATGGCACCCACAGATGATGATGTACTTCATTCTTATAGAGTAGAAGTTGGTGCTTTCAAAATTTACCATGTCACTGTGTTTGGCGCGGGAATCTCATAGTACAGTCTCTACCCACATTTTCTCGCTGACCAAGCGTCGTGTCGCGGTAAGAGTGGCGTTTACAGGATTGTAAAATTGTACTTAACTATTACGGGAAAAATCGTTTTGTGCTTCACTGCCCCTTTAAGCCTTTTATTTTTTGGCAGCTATTCCCAACACTAGAAGTTGGCAACCTCTTGAAGGTGGCGGGCCGAGTTTCATGAATCCAACACTGTCCCGGGAGCCGGATGGCAAACCAAAGCGGGGAGGAGAGGGGGGGTGCAAGCAATGGTGGAAAGTTCGGCATATCGACAATAAAGTACGAAACTAGAATGGAAATCATATTTGATTTCAGGTTTAAATTAGGTTTAAATTACAGTTTACAAAGGTTTAAATTACAAAGTTTACAAGGTTAATTACAAGGTATTAATTACCCCGTGGTCCCGCACATGGCCTCAGGGTAGTATTTTGCCCACCTCTGCCTCAGACCAAGACAGTGATTGACTAAAAACACGGTCCAGGCGTACCTTGAGCGTGACTTCTGCGCTCAACTCCTCCTGCGTCTCAGCCAGCCGCCGCTTGGCCTGTTCCGTTCGACGGTCACACTCGCCAATGAAGTTTTGCAGATGCTCCATTGCCTGCATTAGAAAATACATACTTGTACACAACAATGCTCGGCAGGTGTGTTGAAGTACACTATGTGCGGAACTATGCTGCAGTGAAAATGATAGGACAATCTAACCAGCAGCAAGTTCTGAATGATAAAATATTGGTGAGAACCAACAGATAATCATTGTCTGTTATCATTATTATTGTATCTAACACATAAAAACAAGCTCTTAAATTTACATGTCTTTCCTTCGGGTTTTGAATAAGTGTACTGCCTTTACCAACATACATGCGTCAGCTTATTTCGCTCTGCGTAATAACATCGACAGTAACGGACCGAACATTTAGCAACCAATTTTAGCATAAGATTAAATGGAGTTGAAGCTCATATAACACATGCAGAGCAGAAATCTGAGTAAGCTCAGAGACATTCACATTACATTCATAGTGGAATAAAGTAAGGCATACGCATTCCTTTGATTACCTTTCATAAATATATTACGAAAATGTAATGTGTTGCAGACAGCCAAGCGGTGCTTTCATTACATGCAGAGAAGTGTTGCCTAGAGCCTCTTTTCACACAGAGTGACCCTTCAGTTGATAGGGCCCACTTCTAAGTTTCTTTTCTCTTTGACTAACCTATGTTGTGAAATTATGTACCGGACATAACAAAGTGATAGAAAGATTGCCTTTGTGTCATTACAGGAACAGATATGCCTATAAATTGAACATTTGACTACAATGAAGCTACTCTTGTGTCAAAAGCAGCACGTTATAAAGAGACACGCTTTTTCGCAGATTAGTTGGTTATACTGAAATGTAGACTAGCTGTGCAAGCAGAAAGAAGGGAGAAGAGATAGAGCGAAGCATATCTTTGCTCCATGTTTTTCTCCCTTTTCCTTCTTTTTGCTTGTGCAGCATACGTCTAAGATTGTATTAAGATGAGGTTCAACTGCATTATCTGCAAGCTTTCAGAGCCACATTAACAGCCAAACTTCAGAGTATGAAAAGCATATGGCCGCATTTCCCTCCCAAAATTCTAACATTATTGGCACTGTTCCTGTGGCTATCCTTCAGCTAACAAAATGGCACCTTTTTCAAAGATGTTCGCAATTCTCGACGCCCGCGATGGAACGAAACCAAAAAACGTGTGACTTCTCGCTTCGAAATTATGGTTCACCCTCTCTACCCACACGCATGTCGCACCAGCGTACACCACCCACAAGTGACCTCAGTACGTTCGCTCGTTCTTTTCCAACTAACACCACCACTCACGTCCACGTCGTAAAAGTAGTCCTTCTTCGCGGAGGCGTTCTCATAATCAGCCCGCAGGGCCAGGTCGTGGATTTTGGGGCAGTCGCCCAAGTCCATCCTCTGAAAAAAAAAAGCAGCAAAAAAATAAAGATATGTAAGCAGCACATCTAGACCTCACAAGGCGCAAACAAATAACCACTGCAAAAGAGCTGCCGTCCCTTCTTACCTTATGTTGAAGTTAATTTGATTCTCTTAGGTTAATGGTTATCAGTCGAGCAAGAAGAAGAAACGTTTGTTGTCGACATCAAGATGTCATAATTGCTGGAGGGAGACCATTCTGCAAGGCTCTGGAACTCCAGGATACCTAGGGTACTTTCATGAGCACTTAAATCTAAGTAAACATGCCACAGCATTTTTGCCTCTATCAAAAAATGCGGCCACCACGGGTGGGATTCGATCCTCAGGAGTCAAGCGCTGTATCCGCTAAACCACCGTGATGGATTCGTATACTCAAAGCAAAAATCAGACAAGAAAAGGAAATTGACGCCCGCCTGTTTTAGCACTGACAACTTGCACACTCCTGTCACCAAAATCCTGATATTATTTGAATTCACTTTGAGATTATCCAAGACCAATTACCATTTGCTTTTAACCCAAAAAAGTGAGTGCCAACTAGTTTACTACTACGTTTGCCTGACTTGATTTAAAAAGCACCGACACAAAAATTCTCACCTTTTCTTTTTTTTTTGCTATTGTAATAGGCAGCTTATGATCCACTTATCACAGCTAAAAACCTTGTTTACACAAGCTGGCAGCAGTAATTTATTTAGAGACGTTTTTAGAGCACCCAGTCTCGGTTCCGGCTTCAAAGAGCACTTGAGCTAGGCAGGAGCAGTTATGGAGGCATGGTAAACACTGCTGGCCCTTGTCGCAGCACAACCATCACATGTGAAGCCGCAGGCACAGAGGAAGAAATCAAAAGTGGGGTAAGCGCGAGGAACGTGCTCGTAACTACCCAACACGAACTCGTGACTTAGGTTTCTTTACACTCCCACCGCGTTGATGTTGGCATCGCAAGGGGCTCCGCATCTCGCTCAGTAGCGCAGCCAGAACTTAATTTAGATGTGTTTTAGGCTAGGTTTGCACTCGATATCTCATAGACGTCGCACATGTCTCCCCATAAATCTATCTCGCCTCCTAAATTTTACATCAGCAGCTCCTTTTACGCTTTCCTTTATTTGTCTTTCAATTTGAATCAACTTTTCGTGCATGCCCAAGAGAACTTACCGTGGACGCCAGGATGTCGTGCGGGCAGCAGGCCAGCAGGAAGCTCTTGCACACCCGGGGGATCCGTGAAGTGCACCTTGTACCGGTTGTTCTCGCCTACAACAACATGGGAGCCAGCTTAGAGAGGCGCGCTCAATTACATGCTGAATCACCCCCAATCAAGCAGCTAAAGCCCCGGCTCCCAACTACGCTAACAAGAAAGAAAATCTGAAACTGCCCACTAACCACACTCGACAAGCCTTGCCGAAGAAACAAACAAACTTGATGAGTGAGAACCTATCTCTGCACCTGTGCCTGTAGTGAATTGCTGCATGCATTACAAAATGAGTCAATAGAAGTGCCAGCCTGGGTGTGAAACAAACGAGGAAAATTTAACGAGAGCATATTTGTCTAATCTTCGAAGTTTCTTGTGTTCACGTAAATGACCACTCTATGAATGTCTTGGGATACAAATGGACATCAAATACTAAGACAACAAAGGCTCACCAGCAAATTGACAAAAAAGAAATCTTCATCAATATCGGAATCTTTCTGTCGGACCCTTGCGAGATTTCGAGATTTGGTTTTTTAGGTGGCATGAATATAAAATAAATTTTTTACAAAATGAGCAAACTAATGCTGTTATGCCATGAGCTAAGACAGAGCGATGAGATTTCATCGGTCACTGATGGAATGAGCTCGGTGATAATCCTGAACCCTGCTACCAGTTCAATGAAAGAAAAGGAACGACTGAAATAAAAAACAACCTTTTCTGATGCATAAAAAAGAACACAATGAAGACTTCACATTACACCACCTCTTAGTCCAGCAATATTAACAATGGATTACACGCTTACTCCAGAAAAAAAATGAAAACCTTGCAGACACTTCCTTGCAAAGCACCAGAAACTGGTACAGAATGCAAAGCCAAAAGCTAGTCCTCCAAATGGAAAGCAGTGACAACCCAGTCCAATGTGACAAATTTGTTTTGGACGACCATACAAGTTCTATCATGCTTATGTAAGATACAGTCTGTTTCACACTTGGGGAAAAATATCCCTGAATGCATGGCATCGCGATGCAGCCAGCGCTGCATTCACGTTCCAGCAGTAGCTCGTGCATACGCAGATGCTTGATAGGTATATTGTTGAACCACATTGTCGTGTACGGCAGCATGCGCTGGCTTCATTAAAGGGCAACGAGAGGATTTCATCATTACGTCGACATCTGTGCTCATCGAGCGACATTACGCCACACTGCCATCCAAGATGAGCATCGTCATCGCTGCCGCTGGGGACATGACGAGGTATTAAGTGAAGTTGGAAGCTTCACGCATGCATTTCGGCACCAGCGAGCAAGCGCTGCCTCATGTGTCATCAAGCCAAAGAACATTCAGGTCTTTATCGTAACCTATAGCATTCCTGAATTCATTTGAATTTGTTCTATTGTGTTAAACCCACATAGTTACACATCAATCGCTGTAGAATGCTTTGTTTTTCTTTAGCCTGAAATGAACACCACGCATGGTGCGTGCTCATTATGGTCTTTCGCATCGCAGCGTATTGCGGCGCACACACAAAAGAGAAATATACCCGAATGCACTCGGTACCACAGCGTTTCGAGAGAGCAAAGTATGCTGTCCACTACTGTTTCTAGAACACCATCATCGCCAATATAAGCGTAGAAATTGGAATCAACCAATGTTTGGTATAGTATGTGTATAAGTTCCCACAGTAACGATGCAATCGGGAGGCCAGCGCGTGCCACCATAGCAGACAGCGCAATTCAGCACTATGCCTCTGAAGCGTCCGTGGGCGTGAGACTGCAGCACTGGCCGCATCACGATGCCATGCACTTCGAGGTATCTCCCGCAATTGTGAAACAGACAACACACAATCTTAAGACAAACTTCATTCCCTCAAACACTACACTTACGAAGCTCCAATTATTGTTGCGCATGCATTCTGGAGTCACCCGCCTCAAATACAGTAGAGCTCTCGGCCTTTTACAAATGGAGAAAGAAACAAAAGTGAAGACAACGAAGCATATTTTCTGTCATAAGAAGAAATTAAAGAACCCTGTAAGAACTGCACTGTGTGAAAAACTAGCATAAGAAAACCACTGGTACACCTCATATTGTAGAGTACAAGTAAGGATATTGAAAAAAGCAAATTTTCACAGAGAATTACAACTTCTTGCCTAACTCAAAGTTGTGCAACTACAGTTGGCATGGGTATCATTCCAATACTTGACACTAGGACTGTATTAGGAGCCAATTTTTTATACCTCAAAGACCCAGTTGCTACTCCTAAAAAACTAACATACTAAGCAACACCTCCCCCTGTCACTTTCCAATCTCACAAGCGTTTCCACAGCACCCCTCCCAGTGAGAACACACAACACAGCCTCTCAACGGGCAGTCAAACTACAAAATAGCAGGCGTTAAAATTTTTTTTCTTTTTTTCACTCGTGACCAAGCACTGCGATTCACATGTTGGCTCACCACTTGGCTGAACACAGAAGAAGATATGTGCTGTCTCCTCCCACGTCGATGGTGCCGCCTTTGTCGACCATTTCGTTTAACAGGCAAAACGTGTTAAAGACACAGAGCTTTCAGATTTAAAAAAATAAATAAATAGCGGCGATGGTGATCATGCTCCGCTCTCGACGACGTCACGCACACTCGGTAATCACTTACAAGAAATCACAGGAAGAGAAGCACCCCTCCGGACAGTCAAGCAAAGGCTTTAAGAAAAACGATAAGGTTTGTCCGGTGGAGTGAAAGGACGTACCCAGATTCGCAGTCTCCGTCTCCTCACACAAAAACATACCCAAAACTGCGGGAGTGCCCCAAACCGGCCAGAGCGCCGCTTGAACGACAATTCCACCTCCTGTGCGAGTGTCCGCCGCCTCTCTCTCTCACTCTCTCTCCCTTATGCCCTTTCGCAGAGAAAAGTGCGGCAACACAGTAACATCCATCCACTGGTGATGATGACGTTTGCACAAATGATATATATATATATAAAATTAAGAGAAGAGCGGGCACGCCTCCCCGGCCCCACGTACAAGAGGCGGGGAGCGCGGCAAGCCAAAAAGTAACGAGCAGAACAAAGAGGAGAGTTTTAGAGAGAGGGGAATCTACGTACGAAGTGTGCAGCCAGCTCTCTCTCCCCGACAGCAGCGATGACGACGCGGCACCTTCGAATAAAAACACTTACGGCTCGCTCGGCGAAAGGGGGGGGCACACCAAAGGCTCATTGAGAGTGGGGCGGGCAGTGGCGTGGCTTGAGAGCGGCAAGGAATTCCGCTTCTTGCCGAAAAAAAGCAGACAACATGCGGAGCATACCTTGGCCCAGAACACCCCCCTCCCCCGAATGCGTAACGTCTGAGCAGTCAACTAATCTGTAGGAATCGCAGGATACACGGTTACGTGCCTCTAGCACTTTTAAGGCTCCTTTTGTTTTGTGTTGTAGTAAATATGAAACTTACGCGTACAAGTACGGTTAAAGAGTAAACGAGTACTAAACCTTACTTTTATGCAGATGTACTAGATGAATGATAACTGCGATGCAGGTTCTAAGTGCACGTTTAAGAAACATTAAGCTGCAATTTTGTCTACCGGCCAAGCACGAGAGAAACTCTTGGAATAAAATGTACATGGCTCTCATGAGCATGCTCACAAGTCTACAGTTTTATTCTTACAAGTAGATGGGGCTGCAGTTACAATACATTGCAAAGCAACTAATTGAAGTGTAGATATTTATAAAATTCAAAGAGCCCAACGGGAACTTGGGCCAGTTCAGGTGAGATGCATGCATCGATTACTTAAGCTTTAATAGCCTACAGCGGCATCTAAACTGCAAGACTCCTTAGCGATGGCAAGCTGAGAAGACTGATAACAGCTTTACTGAGCACTACCTAACATTTGTGATGCTGCATGCAGAATTTGTGTGAGATTTCAGCGCTTTCAGCCATTTCTTTTTGTGAAAACGCACTACCCTGAACCGGAACAGGACTTCGCACGTAAAGGGCAAGCTAAACAAGGACTGATTGCCGTTTGCGCTGAGTGCACATAGGAATGAACGTGGGAGGTAACAATGCCTCGTCTACTTTACATAAAATATGTAGTGGCAACCTAGGGGAAAGTATAAAGGACACTGCAAAAGAAGCCCTACTATGCAATAGCCCTGGCAACATCTGCAATGCGGTGCGAGATGGCACGTCACACAAGGGGGCAAGGGCCCCCAGAACAAGTACATACAGGTATGTTGATATATACATATACTAGACATACATAGATATATATATCGGCAAGCCAAAAACTCACAGCACTGAACAAATACACTCTCCCGGTTCCAGGTCAAGAGACGGGTGTCTCTCTAGTGCTTCGCCTGGAAAAACACGGGAACACACCTGTGTACAGCCCGACACAGCGCACGCGCACGCTTGCACAGCCCCCGCCCACCCATGGTCCATGCTTTCGTAACGCTGTCTGGCTCGCAAAAGCAGAGCCATCAATAGAGAAGTCCACAGCTTCGTACAAACGCTTCCATTCCCGAACTCCAGGCAGTGCAGCAAGAGTACAGGCCATGTCAGCCAACTAATATAGATTCTGGAAAATGCCTTCTCTAACATAAAATCACTGGTTGTCTTTCATAGCAACCAGTAGCAAAAGCTTCAGAAAGAGATAGGCAGTGCACCATATGCAAGCACATTTCTGAACTATCGCATGTTGCAACTTGTTGGCTGATACAAAGCCAGTCCTTTGGTGCACTGCGAAGAATTCGTGAGACAGAGTATAGATCCACTACCATATATTGCACGCAGCTAATGGTAACGAGCACAGAGTATACAAAAATTAACTAGAGGGGACTCATGTGCTGTAATCATTCAGCCACCATGGGAGAGATGGGTAGTTTTATGCTTGCGGGCTTCAACCCCGCTTGCAGCATTGCTTATTGCTGTGTTTCAGTTTTGAAAAAAAAAAAAAACGGACCATTGTGAACTTCGTGACCCGATTGGAATTGGCCTACCTACAAAGATTAACGTGATGAAGTGCAACTGCTGAACATTTCCCGATTGTCGTCTCTTTGCAAAGCAGTTTCGGGCCACGCGAA